CACCCTTCAGTCTGCAGGCAGATGCTCTATCCACTGAGCCAAACTGGTTAGGGCAAACCATGACCTTCTTGTTCATGGGTCAATACTCAACCACTGAGCCACACCAGCCAATCTTAAAGACATATTTTTCTCCTCCACAGAGGTAATATTTATTATTTGTTAAAAGATCTTTTATGTAACATATATAGAGAACGCAAAATTGTACAAAGCACTTTGGGGATTTCTACTATGAAATGCGTATATACTTCTGAAATCATATAGAGATATGTAAAGACTGATTTTTGATTGCAAAACTTGGTGGGGTGAAATTTATCAAGGCGTGAAAAGTTTGCGCAGATCAATTCCTTCTTAGCTTGTCCCTTAAGCCTTTAAGTTTCATGTGAAATTTGCATTTTTCTGATTCTTGCTGCATTTTATAGGCAATAGGCTGTTGGGTTGCCTAGCTTAGCATTTAACTTTAAGTTTTGTTAATTATAGAAAAAATCTGTTATAAGGCAGTATTTTTTCTAAATATTAAATCATATCCTTCAGAATATAACTACTCATAAAAGCTTCTATGTTACACAACAATGTGACTACTGAGTGGTGTTAAATTTAATATGATAACACTTAAATAATGGTTAAGATGGTAAATTTTATATTATGTATATTTCATGACAATTAAAAAAAATCAGCCTATTGTAGACCTGCTCACCAACACCCATGGAATAGAGTCCTCTGCATTTCAATGTATTATGATTTGTGTTTAATCAAATAGTGTGGTTTTACCCCCTTACTTTGACACCCCCCCCTGCCCCCCCTCCCCCAAACACATTATCTGACCCTACTGAATGGCTCAGAATATGATGAGCTATGGCAAAAGTTCTGGCCAACCACTGATGACACTTTTGGGTCATTGTTAAATTGATGAAGAATTTTCAGAGTAATCGGCACTTCATCAATTTTAACTTCATAAAAAAATGTTGGCTCTCCATAATGTAGTTAATTTGTAATTACATAATGAGTTTCAGAATTAAGATTTGAGATAGCTGGGAGGATAAAGAAAAGGATGATTTCTAAAAGCTAATCATTAAGTAGAAATCGCACTCTGGAAACCCATTTTTAAACTGGTAAGAACAGATACTACACTTGATCTTAGCCAAAAGGCCGAGAAGTGATGGAAACCCATTTTTAAAATGGATAAATCACTTGATCTTAGCCAAAAGGCCAAGAAGTGATGGGAACCCATTTTTAAAATGGATAAAAGGAGACAGGGGACAGCGTGAGAACTAACTGCTGGCCGGCTGTATTTTCCTCTTACTTCTGTAAAGGACTGTACACGCTCTGCATTCCTTCAATGCACATAAGCATGTGGGAGGGGTTACAGCACCCAAGCAGAATGGACTACTAAGGGTGGGTGAGAGTTAAGTGTCACGTGCCCCAAGGCTCCCTCTGAGTCATATGCACTGAAACCTGAGTGCTGTCACTCCCCTTCCCTGAAGAGGTCCTGGGACAGGCGTTTCCTGCCTGCAGAGCACAGAAGCAACTTCACAGAGCACAGCTCCCGTTT